TGGAGGTAATTGGCAAATAATAATATAAGAATGGCAAAGAAAAAGAATAACTATGTGAATGTATACCTATAACCGCATGTAAGAGAATAGATGATAGTAAAAATATAAAGCACAATATAGGTAAATAACGATCATAAGTAGCTAAGTAAGTATAAATAAATAAAGAAATGTATATAAAAATGGATAATGAGTAACGAGATTACAAACGCAAGATAGAAATGTATAGAAAGGAAAACACTAACTGCAAAGAAACCGATTTGGAACTGCTTTATGATATACGATGGAACTTATTGTTCCTATGTTGTTTTTAAGTTATGTGTTTGTTTTTGTTGATGTTTTTATGTGTTTAAAAAAAAATTATCATGTCATAAATATTCCACGACAAGCATATTATACAATAGGCTTATAATAGAATACTGTAACTTTATTCTGTTCTTTTCAAATGTGAACTGGCACATAAGCAGTGTCACAGTAATATAATACATTTTGTATAAGTTCAATTTTGAAATTACTAAAAAAAGGTTCCTTGGGCACTAGATGGCAGCCTTACTACTTCAGTACTTAAAACTCAATGTCTTATGAACATTGTTTTAAAATATAAATGGGAGCAATGCTAGAATATGTTAGAAGAAATCAGTTTTAATAAATGACATTGGAATTTCACTTCAAGAACTAAAACAACACTAGGTTCTTAATGCAAGACAAGCAATACATACAGTCCAGGTAAACTGAGAGACATGGCCTAGCAATCTGATTATCTGCTACTGCCTGTTCATTGCAAGTTTTCTTCTGGGATCCCATTTGTTTAAACTAAGTACCTCCTATAATTGTAAAGCTGTCATGCTTGACTTAGAGTAATGAGTTCCAGCAATTATGTTTGACACTAATTGACTTTGCAGATTGAGGCTATTTTTATTACAGTTAAATGTAGTAGTACCGGTAATAATCACCACAAACTGTCATTGTACTTTCAATGTTTGGTAATTTAAGAATAAAAGCTGTATAGAAAAAAAAACCCTCTTCCTAATATCTAAAGATAGTTAGTGGAACAAATTGCTTCCCAGATTCGAATCTTATGCATACTGTATGAGAGATAATAGTTTTCAGCAGATGGTTTACTAATAAAATATGGTTTAATGTTATTAGAAAATACATCCTGTTTGTAAATGCAAAACCTGGGATTGTGAAATAATTGAAGTGCCACATAACTAAGTATTGTAGTACTGAAAAGTACGGCATTTTCCAGTTTTGAAAACCTTTTCATGGATATTAAAACCTTAGTTATGTGTGGATGTTTTTAGATTTGTTTTGTATTTGGTCTTTAAGTTTTCAGAAAAGAGGTATAATATATAGGTAGCTTGCCTTTCTTACATAGATGTTCCAAAGCAATCTCTTTAATGGGAATAAAACTGGAGGGTAATAGCAGTGGCAGGGACCATTATGCAAAGGAATGAGGCCGTCTCAAAGTTACGGCTTCTTTCAGGATGTCAAAATACAGTATTTGTATATTCCAAGAGAAAAATACATAATAAAATAGTAATTATGGAAACAAAGATGTAAAGGATATCTCTGTACATCCTGTTACTTGACAAATACCTGGGAGGAAACTGACTTAGCAAAATCCATTTCCTATCTTACCTCATTTGAAAATCAATTTATCCTTGACATTATTTCTTTTTTTTTAACTATCATTTCTCACATGCTGAAAATCTAAATTAGACTTTTCATTCAGATTTTTTTTCACTTTCTTGCATCATCACTATATTTTGAATGCAGCAAATATCTACTCCTTCAGGCATAATCCATTTTTCTGAAAAGGGTCCTTTTTGGAATCAAATGATATTAAAGAGCTTTTATAAGGGTTTCTACAAATAAAAATTATAGCTTTCCCCGCCACATAGTTTTGGGATTGTAGCTACTTGGCAGGACTATTATACCAAATATATCGTTTCGGATTCTGATAGCAAAACATTGGCTATCTTTAAATTTAAAAAATGTTATTGTATTTTTTTTAAAAAAATAAGCTAATAACACTGAAGTTTAATATTCACCTCTTCCAGAAAAATCTATTGAAAAGGAGTCAGTCTTTCATTTCAATTTAGAGAAAGGGGGGAAAATACTTTTATTTTAACGAAAGTGCATCATGTAGTATAGGTCTGTTTGCACTGCTGCAGAAAAGATCTGTTAATTTATCTGGAAATGGTATCAGATGCAGAGCCAGAGAAGAATTACTGTCTATATTGTCTTCTAATTTTATTTTTTACTGTTAATTGCTATAACAGTTAATGGCTACATGTTTAATAAATTAATTCTTAATCAATGAAAGCAACTGGGAACAATCCACATATTTGAATTATGACTCCCACAGTTATTTCCCTTTAGTATCTTTGATGTTATACTAATATAAGAATTATTTGATCTTATACCTGTGATAAAACAATTGTGAAATGAAAACAAGGGAAATGAAAAAAAGTACCTTAAAAATTATATAATGATTTTTTTTAAAAAAATACTGAATTGGAAACCAAATACAAGAACTAATGATTGCATGGATTCTGTAATAATATAAGATTTTATGAGAGTTAGCCTCATAACTAAAAATAATTGATTTNGAACCACTTCCGAAAAACCTTGCCAAGAAAATAGCAGGTACTAGTCAAGGAAGTCAGAAATTCACTGGAAGGTACGCTAACAACAATAATCATATAACTAAATTTCTAGGTAAGTTTTTAAAGGATAAAATAATCAAAAAAGTAACTGCTGATAGTCAAATACAATATTTGAAAATGATAAGATGATGTTTCATTATGGCACAATAGATATTCTGAGACTATTTTCTTTTTTCTTTTTGTTAAAATAATTTTTTTTATCGATCCAAAATAATATTGTTTTCATCTCTTTGTACAGTTGATGTTTTCAGTCTTTGATGATTGTCTTTTTATATAATACTTTAATACTACCTCCCGTTGAGGAAGCAAAAATTAACATCTGTTGTAATTATTGGACATCATTTCTTGAAGTTTAAGGATTTGGAGATGCAGTATTAAACACTTCTAAAAAAATTCAATCCATCAGCTATTACTTCTCAAACCATATTTTAAGCAAATTGCAATATAGTACATCTTACAAAATATTAAAATAACTACATAATGCTAGAAGACAATAAAATGTTACATTTAATTCAATTTTCTCCAAATTTAAATTTTTTATCCTTTTTTTCTATTACTGTTTTGGATTTTGAAAACTTTTGGTTCTCTACTAGCAGTTGTATTTAATAGTTCTCTTTACCTGTGGAGATTTGTTCTGTTGATGGCTGTGGGAATGGGAATAGTGCCTTATATGGGTGAACTTTCTTTTCTGAATCACGTCAATGGTGTTTAGGGTTAATATCGAGGTAGCTATGAACAAAGGTTAAGCTGTTTCTAATGTAATGTTTATGTTTTGTTTTTAAATGTTTAGTCAAACAAAAATCTGGACATATCAATTAATGCATCAAATAACTTTAACCTCAATATCACATGGTCTATTGGCTCTACAGGTAAGAAAGACACCTTATTAGTAGTTTTCCTTTTTAATATTATCTCACGTAGTAACGTGCTTACTATATTTACATGATTGCTTTTCATTTCTTATTAGTAAATGTTAATAAAATACATTCTTTTCCATTCTCATTATGACATTATTAATGACATTACTTAAAACAGATAATTTGCAAATTAAATTAAGGTTCATTAACATGTTAACTTTCTTATTCAATTAAAATTACTTGAGTAACAAAACCTTGTATGCTCTTTAAAATGTTATAGTGGCAGTATTATGAACAGAGTGATTTTAATTAAGATAAATTACTTCCTTGACTACAGCAGAGAGACAGTTTTTTTAATTTCTTTGTTTCAATGTTGAAGCTTGGAATTTAATTATTAAACTTAACATTGATATCAAACAAGAAAATTCTTCTGTGTGTTCTAATAAAAGAATTTGCTTATCATCTGTTCATTCCCCTACACTCAAGCTTTTGGATCCAGTTTTTTTCATTGATTTTCCATTGGTTTTTAATAAAAAGCTTTGTTTAGAAAGTTTCCTTGCATTTGTTCTGTTGACTTTCGGAAAACATATTCAAGGAGACCACCCTTGATTGAATGTTAATGAGTTATGCACAATGAAAATGGAGAGTTTGCAATTATATATTTGCATGTATGTTTTCAATATTTGTAAATATATTTGAGGAAGAACACAATATTTGGAAAGGAATTATGACTACACATATTACATGGTGCCAATCTTCCCAGAATAAATTCCACCTCTATCTGATAGATAGATCAGGTGTCAATCTTTTAAATTCTGGACCGTAGAAGAACAACTGAAGGCAGTGAAGTAAATAGCATTACAATCATCTGCAATGGCTGATATTTCATCAATTCCATGTGTTGAATTGAAGCTGAGTACACCTCTATTCGAACACAGAAGAATATCTCTGTTGGGATTATAGGATATTCATAATATTTATCAATTTTAGCACAAGCTAGTAAAATTAAACTTGATAACAANCGTCGCGCTGTGATGACGTCACGTACGCGCTTTCGTCGAGCGAGATTTTGTCGTCCGCGGTTTTGTGGTGGAACCAATTCAACTTCTGTGTGTGTAACATAGGACAAACAAAAAAACAAATATAACTCGTCCTCTTTGCCCATAGTTTTCCAAAATAAACTGAATTGGCCCTCAGATCTTTATGAAAACCACAAGAGTCTTCTGTCCTCTTTCTTGGAAGCATGGTAAGCGTTGAGCTCTCACTGGGAGAATCCTTTTGCACCAAAGTAAAGAATAACCAAAGAGCAAACGGGATCCCTGCTCTTTATAGAACTCCAAATTCAGGGTTAAAGAAGCAACCACAAATTCTTGGGCTTATCTTGAGCCACACTCACCTAACAAATTGTCACATCCTGTTTTTAATGCCTGTCCTGATCTAATAGGAATAGCAGTGGTGCACAATAGTTGCCCCTCAACTGGAACTGGATGGCACCCAGCTGTTTCTCAATGAGGATTTGTAGATTAGGTAATCTATGAGAATCTTGGCTGATTCAAATTCCGGATTAACCCTCCTTTGGCAAAGGTGAGGCGTCCTCTCAGCAAATAACATACACACACACACACCGATTTTATTGAAAGATACTTTCGCTCCGATCCAGCTGGCTAATAATTGCAGGAGCTCCGGAGGATTGAATGATGGCCGGGCGGAATCCGCCTCTTAGGGAAAGCCGCGGTCGGAGCAGCTCCGGGAAGGCGGATGCCCTTCTCTGCCCCGGGCGGCGGGGAAACCGAATGGTCTCCGGGGCTTTCTAGAAAAGCCCTGAAAAAGATCGCGGACCCACAAGGGGCTTCTTCGGGTCATCCCGGGGCCTGCGAGATGCTGGGGCATTTTTCAGTTTCAGCCGGAGAAGAGGCGGTTCCAACCACCCGCTCCTCGGCCGTCCAGGAACCGCAGGAGACCCTGGCATCGTCCGCTCCCTTTTTGGCAGAGCTTTGCACCGCCCGGAAGCGCTCCGGCTCGTTATTCGCCGCCCTCGGCCTCCTGAAGCTCGCCTGGTAGCTTGTATTTGGTCAGAGGCGACGGGAGCCCGGCTGCTTTCCCCGCCAACTCGTCCCACTCGGACCGGCCAGGCCGTCCTTGCGGGCGGAACCCCGGCCGGGCATACGCCTCCTCCGACCCGCTCCTTTCGCATCAGGCTGGGGGACGCAGCAAAGCCCGGGCGGGGAGAGGCGAAAACGGCGGGCGGCCCGAAGCCCTCCGGCCGTGGCGGCAAGGCGCAGGAGGGCGTTCCGGGGGCGCCAGGGAGGGCAGCGCCAGCCGGACGGGCGCCAGGGCGGGCGGGGCAGCGGCGGGGGGCGCCCGGCGGGACGGAGGCGGCGAGGAGGAGGGGGCGCGCGGCCAGGCGGAGAGAGGCGTGCGTGTTTGGCTCTTGCCGCGCTCGCTGCGTTGCCCCTTTAATTGTGTCCCTGGCCCTCGGGCGCCTCTCTCCGCCGCCCACGTCAGCAGCCACCTTTGTTTCTCTCCGGCCGGGCGGCGGGGCGGCGGTGCCCGCGACGCTCCGCACCGTCACCCCCGCCTCTCCCTCCTTCCATCCGCCCGCCCGCCTCCGGAGCCGCAGCCAACCCAGCCCAGCCTCCGCCGAGCGGTAAGTCACCAGCGGCGCCCCGCAGTAGCCCGTGCGAACAGGGCGTCGGGTGGGCTGAGCGCGCCCCGCGGCCTCCGCCTCGCCCGCCCGGCGCCCCCATCGCCCGGAGCACCAGCGGACCCGGGGGGCGGCCGGGCGCCATTTGCTGCTGTCGCCGCCCCGGGCGCGGCGCTCCCTCCTTGCAACAAAGGGCGGCGAGGCCGGGGCTGCCGGGGGCGGCGCTGCTAGCCGGGCACCGAGCGGGCAGGGCGAGGAGGGCGGGGGCTGCCGCATCGCCTCCAGCGCCGGTCGGGCGGCTTTCCGTCGAGCGAGAGCGAGGGAGCGGGCTTCGCCCTGCGAGCCTCCAGGGGCTCCCGCACCAGCGCCGCTGCCTTGACGGGCTCCGGGGCTCCCGACGCCCGAGCAGCCAATTCGGAAGCGCGACCAAAGACTGACGGCGCCCTCTGCCAATACGCCGCCGCGATCCCTCTTCGGCCGGGCTGGCCCCGCCGCTGCCCCGGCTGCCCGCTTGGCGCTCGTTGCGGCGGCGGCGGTGGGCGGTTGGGCTACCGCTGGCGGCGCATCTCGCTTCGACTCCCGGGAGCGTCCTCCGTGGCCGCGCTGGTCCGTCCTCGGAGCGCACCTGAAGGGCTGCCCCGGCGCTTCGCGCTGCCATTCACGGCGCCGGGCAAATGGCGCTTTGCGCGCCGCACCCCTCTGCCCGCGAAGGCGGTTTGGCCCCCGCCGGAAGAAGCGGCGGACTCCCGGGAAGCCGCCCGTGGGCCCTCCGGCCTGCAAGGAAAGAACGGAGGGGCGGGAAGCGCCCCCTCTCTCAGCCCCAGCCTTCAAGTCGCAGGCCGGAGATGCTGCCCGAACCGTTTTAGCGAGGGACGCCCAGCCTCCGGGGCCTTCAGCGGGCTAGCCGCGGTCCTCATCGCCTGAGGCTTCTGGCGCCCTGAGGAAACCAGGCGGGCTCCGCGGAGAGATTCGCCCTGCGCGAGTCCACCTAAGCGGCAGCTTCAAATGGCCCGAAGCCTCGGCAGGGAAGGCTGGTTTGAGGGACCGGGCAGCGGTCCGGAGGCCCTTTAGCCGCGTCCAGAACTCTGCTCCTCCCGGGTCCTGGTAAAAAGCCTGGGGAAGTTGGAAAGGAGGAAAGATAGCAGCAGCCAAAACCACAGTAATGGAGAATAACACCCCTTCCCAGTAGGCCCCTTAGGAATGAATATGTAGTGCTAATCAACCGTCGATTTTGGTGGACCCTTCAGACCCAAGAAGTGTCAGATTCCAACCAAAAAGCCAAAGGGTTTGCACAGCACCCCAAGCCAAGTTTGCATAAACTATCCATCAATGGCCCTTGTTTTACAACCAAGTTTGTACCTAGTTGGTGGCGTTTTGAATTTTGCACAGGCCACATCCTGTAACCTATTTATATTTCTTTATAAGATTATCAATTGCCTCCATTCTGAAAGTCTTCCTTATAAAGTTCAGTATGGACAACAGTGGCTGAGATGCACCACACAGCTGGGGAAGAAGATATCATGTGGGTATCCAAGTTTTGGGGGTTAGTTTATTGTATGAGGATGGTCATTGACTAAACGGGCTGATTGCAAAACAAAAATAGGTCTGCACGGGAACATTTTTGCCAAGGAATAAACCGGGCTGGACAGGACTAGACTAGAGAAGCCTACATTAGTCTAGACTAGACTAGAAGAGAAGAGGTTTCCCAAGGTAACCACAGCTGGCCCATTATGGTATTATGAGGGCTGAGAGGCAAGTTGAGGATTCTTTTTCTCCCACAGTTACATCAGCTGGCTTAAGTGCAGTACTGTGTGTGGCTGAAAGTGGCCAATTCTTTAAATATGTGGTATGGATTTGGGGGGCTGCACACTGTAAATTCCTGCTGCAAATATTTAGAGCAGTGTTTCTCAACCTTGGCGACTTTTAAGTCCTGTGGACTTCAACTCCCAGAATCCCAGCTGGGGAATTCTGGGAGTTGAAGTCCACAGGACTTAAAGTCGCCAAGGTTGAGAAACACTGATTTAGAGCAACTGACCTGGAGATTCTCCTGAGGATGAAGCTCTGATGGACTGCTTGTAACAAATTCTGCCCCATTTCGCAGGGTAGCAGAAATTACTGGGGTTTCTGTGTGAACCTTACTGGTTAAAGGAGACACAGAAATTTTCTGTTGTAGAGCTGCTGCTTGTGTGGCTCAAAAGTATATTGTGCTGTTTTTCACAAGGCTCTGTACAATCTTGGGTTTCTTAGAAACATCCTGACAATTTTAGGAAGTTTCAACTAGGCATTTGACTTGTGTCCAATCTCTCTTTTTTAATACTGTAATTAGCTCACTTTCCAGTTGCTCCAGGGATCACAACAGAACTGTGTAGTAATTATTGTAGTTAAAGTAGCAGAGAAAAACAAAATGATCAGCTCATTCAGAACTAGCCAGAAATAAGCAAATATTGCTGAGTATGGATAATCCTTGATTTTTGATCACAGTTGGGATAAGAATTTCCATTGCTAAGCAAGGCAGTCGGTGAGTGAGTCACAGCTGATTTTACTACCTTTTTTTAAACCACAGTTAAGTGAATCATGTGGTCATTAACTTAAGGTGGCTTCTGGTGACCACTGGAACAATTCAACTACCATAAATATATGACAGTTGCTATGTGCCCAAATTTTGATCTCATGACTGAGGATGCTGTGATGGTTGTAGGGACCGGCTGTCACTTTTAGGATTATAGAATCCTAGGGCTGGAAGGGACCTTGATCTTCTATCTAAACCCCTGTCCAAGGCAGGAGACCTTATTGCATGCTGGACAAATGGCTGCCCAATCTATTCTTGAACACTTTCAGCAATGGAGCACCCACAGCTCTAGGGTGCAAGGTGCTTTATTGATTACTGTATTTTTCAGAGTATAAGACACACCTTTCCTCCCCTAAAAGAGCATGGAAATGTTGGTGCATCTTATACACCAAATACAGCCATTTTTGGCTTCCCGAATCCCTGCCCCCCATCCCAGCAGCAGAGGAGGCATTTTTGCCTTCTCCCAACCCCCAGGAGCACTCTGCAGGCTTCAGTAGGACTGGGGGAAGGCAAAAACACCTCAGTTTTTTGCAAAAAACAACCCATTTTCTGCGGGTTTTTCACAAAAATGGGGGCATTTTTGCCTTCCCCCAGCCCTGTTGAAGCCTGCAGAGTGCTGCTGGGGCCCGGGGAGGATAAAAACTTTTATTTCTTTCTTACCTCTTCAAAATCTTGGTGTGTCTTACACGGTGTGTCTTATAGTCCAAAAAATACGGAAATTTTTCTCAGTGTCAAAATTTTTTCCTTAGTTCTAGATTAGTTGTCTTTAATGAGCTTCCACCCATTGCTTCTTGTCCTGCTCTCAGGTGCTTGGGACAATAAGAACTCCCTCCTCCCTGTGATTGCCCTTCAAATACGCCAAGATGGCTGTGGGGTCTCCCCTGAGTCTTCTCTTCTTTAGACTACAAATCCTACTCATACCCTTGTTCAGCAAATGGTTGTCTCCAGACCCCTTGTCATCTTTTTCGTTGTTGTTCTCTGCACTCCTATGGTTTCACCATGTTTTTGTATATTGGCGACCAGCACTGGATGCAATGTGGCCTCAATACTTCTGTATAGGGCGATATTATCAATTCTTGTGGTTTTGATGCTGTCTCTCTGTTGATGCAGCCTAGGAGTACATTGGCTTTTTTGGCAGCTGCAGCACACGGCTGGCTCATGTTTAAGTGATTGTCCTCTAGTACTCCCAAGATCCTTCTCACAGTTACTGCTGTTGAGCCAAGTACTGTCTATTCTATTCTTGTGTATTTGGTTCTTCTACCTAAGTACAGGACCTTACTTTTGAATTACATCTTGTTAGATAGGGTTCAATATTTTTCTGGATCTTAAGCCAAACTTCTAAAGTGTTGGCTATCCCCCCTCCCAGATTTTGTATTGACTGCAAATTTGATGAATTCCCCTTCTATCTCCTCATATTATCCCCTCATACTCGATTATACATTTTTCAGTATCCCTTTAACTTCAAAGGGTTTTAGGTCAAAGTTTCTCCATGAACTTCCCAATCAGTAGCTCTCTCTACCCTTAACCAATTCTGGGGAAAAGGAGTTCCTGTGTAGCTGTGGAAAATTGATGAGAAGTGAATTTGGAGCAGAGACCCTTTTGGCCACTGCTCATTTTTCTGATGAAACATCAATGGGCGCAGTTTTCTTTTAAGGTGAAACTTCTGTGGAAATCCACAGGAACCAACAACAATTTAGCTTACATGCCACCTGCTAGCACTCCAATCAATGCAACATGTTAGCAGTATTCACACAACACTAGGCATTTCTGGAATTAACCAATTGTGTAAATACAATACAATACAATACAATACAATACTATACTATAGCAGAGTTAGAAGGGACCTTAGAGGTCTTCTAGTCCAACCCCCTGCCTAGGCAGAAACCTTTACACCACTTCAGACAAATGGTTATCCAACATCTTCTTAAAGACTTCCAGTGTTAGGGCATTCACAACTTCTGGAGGCAAGTTGTTCCACTGATTTAATTGTTCTAACTGTCAGGAAATTTCTCCTCAGTTCTAAGTTGCTTCTCTCCTTGATTAGTTTCCACCCATTGCTTCTTGTTCTACCCTCAGGTGTTCTACCTTCAGGTGCGAATAGCTTGACTCCCTCTTCTTCGGGGGCCACCCCTCGAATGTTGCTCTTGGCGTTAGGTAGAACTTTGAAAAGTCG